TTTGATGCCGCATATGCTTTGATTCAATAATGTCGTGCTACGGTGATATTATCTATCTCAATACGTGAAATGAGAGTTTTCTGAGAGTTCTAAATAAGTATAAATCGCAGTAATTCCTGCGGTCATCAATGTCTGCAAAGGTAGATTAAGAAAAACATATCTTGAAGGTAACTAAGCTACTAAGGCGACGCAACTGTAATTGTAACTTAAATGCATTTTTGACAGTAACTTATCCAAGACTCGGACTCTGTTGGCTCCGGTGGCGGAGTCAAGTCCTAATTCTATCCGAGAGAATTCAGTCACTCTAGGCGGGGGGGGGGGGGGGGGGGGGGAGGGGGAGTCAAGTGGTTTTAGTTGAAAAAAACCCATTGAGTCCTATAGAACAGTCGTCGCACTCCGTCAGATGTTGAATAGGGTAACTCTGATGGACGAGTCGTGTGATTTTGGTGAAACCGGAGCCACATGATTCTATTGAGGAGAGTCCGCTGTCCTTTGTGAAGGATACTCACTGACTCCAGGCAGGAAAATGGTCACCTGAAGCCGTTGAGTATTAGACTCACCAGACTCTATTGAGGTTAGAATCCACTGACTCTGCTGAGCGCTAGAGTCAGATGATTCTTCTAGAGGTTTCACCATAGGGACAACTCTATACTGCCTCATGGGGAATGAGTGTTGAGCGAAAACAGCCCGGCAGCATCCTGCCCGGTGCCGGCTCATCGAGGTCTTAAACACCGAGCAAAGCCCCACCCAGATGATGATCAACGACCAAAGAGATTGCACTCCATAGTGTTCAAGGCCATACGCGAGAATCTCACAAAAGCTACGGAACATCTCGTCCCAGTATTACACACAGCTCTGCAATGACACGCTTATGGGCTGTTGTTTCTCTGACTGCATGTAAGCTATATGTGAAACAAGAGTATATGTAAAATACACTATTTCTTTGGCAGTTCTATTAAACCTGTCTATTGCGATCTTCATTCTCCTATCGGTGACTAGGGTGTCGTGCTTATATCGATATAAAACATTTCCGAATCAACAATCGATCATTAATTTAAAATGCAACAAAGCATTAGCGTCACTGGCTGGCGGTTCGACGGTTTTAAATTGCTGAACATGCAAAAAAAAAAAACTGGATTCAGGTAATAAAATCTAACGGCGCAGCTAATAATATATTCATATAACGGCGGATAATATAATGTAACGGCAATACATATGTTCTACTGAACAGGTTAAAAGCAAATACTTAATTCAGGCGCGCGCGGGCGGTTTTCGCACGTGTTCTTCTGTAGATCAGCTGTTTTGACGCCATGCTGGCTTGTGGCTTACTGGTTTGTTGTCTTTTTTGTTCGCGTTCTCACCTACATGGAGTGCTTCTAGATGAAAAGCCTGTCCTTTGATTTTATTTTTATAAGTCATCATCACTCGAACTACAATTCTTACTGTTTTATATCTTCAAAATGTTTCTACTGCCTAGATGCCGCCATCTGTTTTTTAAGACATGCTTTTGGTGATGAATGTCCCTTGACATTCTTTGTCGATAAAAGTGGTTGCTTATTTTGAGAGCACTACACTGTGGTCGTTTGCTAAAGCACCGTCTTCTGCACGTTTGCTGTGACTATTGCAATACATGTGACGGGCTGGTGTCGCCTTCATTGTTTTCTTTTTTCGGTCGCTTGGTTTGGTAACTAGGTATTCCGTGGAACCTCGGATCGCACAAAGTAGTGGCATGCCGACCTTAGCGCGTTGCACACAGGTCCTTACACCGGCACATATTGGCGAGATGATAATGTTTTGTGCGTTTGAAACACCGTCCCGCTTTGTGAAGGATCTATTCTTTGTCAAAAAGAGATAGGTTTCGAAACACATCTTGATTTGATGTCGTGTTTTGAAAACTTACAGAGGGCACATTTCTGGTTAAGAATTTGTTGCAATAATGCCGTTGCCGTCCACTGGTCATTTACGATCTACCAGCCTACATGGTCGCATGAGGCGTGGATACCTGTTCTCTTCTAGATTTACCACACATGGAAAAATTCGTTTTCGTTTTATGGAAGGTTTTTCTATTCTTTCTACTTCCACTCACAGAAAGCGTAATAAAGCCGGCAGTTGACGTTTTTTGTTTTTTTTTAATCTTCATCTAGGCTTTGGTCACAGAGGTCTTTCGGTGAACCAGCTGAGTGTGTTTCGAAATGTTTATATTTCTCATCGCGTACAATGCTTTTGTGCTAAGTATGCACAACGCCTAACGGGAGGAACATATTGTTAAAATCTGAAAGTAGCAGTTAATAATCCTGGCTCATCTTCAAGGGCATTAGCCCACGTGTATGCCCGGCTACGTCGTCGTTTAGCCGTCTGAGTCTCGGGACATTTTGTGGTAATCGAATTGACAGCCTCTCCGTTAATTTCCTTTTTATATCGTTGGTTAGAACATTTTTTAGCCGAAGTGCATATTGAAAATTTCTAAGGCGTCATCGTGTCATCGAGCTTCGCCTGGGAATTCCGCTATTATCCGAGAGGCTTTTCCAGAGAACAGAGTTTTCATAAGATTAAACTTGTTCACTGTTAATATACCTTGATTGTGGTGGATTACCTCAATTACTCAATTTCTAAGTGAGAGATAAAAAAAAGGAAATAAACTGTTCCTCTCGACCTGCACCACCTGACGGTATAACAGGTTTGATTCAATATAATATAAAAAATGAGGGCCGTAATTGACCAAACGTTTCTTTAGTCCTTAAAGCCAATTAAAAAGAAAAACAGGGAGACAGCTGAACATTGGCATTGGAACGAACTTGGAGAATCTTGCGAGCAATTATGAGTATTTGTGTTTCGTTTTTTTCCTTTGGTATTAAGTTATTAATTGTTGTTCCGCTTGGTCCTGCCTCTTGTCTTCTGTGTTCTTGACGACGAGGAAGTTGTCTTCTTTAAAATTTTCGTACTGGAATATATAAGAAAATGGATTGGAAACATGTTAAAATTTTATTCTCTTTTAATGATTTTATTTTAAAATTAGTTATGTATTTCTACGTATGTTGGCGTTAGCATGTATGTTTTCATTTTATTCTCTTTTAATGATTTCATTTTAAAATTAGTTATGTATTTCTACGTATCTTGGCATTCTCATGTATGTTTTCATTTTATTTCTTATTTGTCTGTCGCCTTGATTATTTTTTGAGGGGGGGGGGGGGAGGAGGGAGCAGAGAGCATTGTAATTTTTCGTTGTTTTTGATTTTTTTTAATGATTATATTTTACAGCAAGAGATTATTATTATAGCTATACATACCCTAGTATTTACCTATTTACATATTTACATTTTCCCCCGAAGGAGAAGGATCACACTTATAAAACTTCATGTTTGCAGCCTGTATTCTTATCATGTGTTGCTATTAATCTTTCTTTTTTTTGAGATTGGAAGGAATGAGGTTATGTCTTGAAACAGACACTAAATATTTAGTCGTTTTCGTCAGTATTACTTTTCTTTTCGTACGTTGTTTGTTGTTGGTGGTCGGTCTTGAGGGGTGCAATAAGAGATCAACCTCTTTTCTTTTTCACTGTCTGTCTTGGTTGTCCGTTCCTGAACACTGTTGCTCTGAGAGTAGATGACTTTTCGTTCCAGTTTTATTGTAGATACTCTCGTTACTCTTGCTGAGAAGGTGGATTACCTGTAGAAACTGTTCCAAAAGGGCTGCCACTATCGACGATCTCTATTAAACTTCTAAAGCTCGAGCTCCAAAAGTTTTAACTTCATCGCCAACTTAAATAATTTGTTACAGCTCCGGCGTGTTAGATAGGATATTATAAAGACGTTTTGACTACTCATGTTTATCTTTGAAACTCAGTCTGGCGGAATAAGTTACGATGCGGTCGCTGTTGTTTTTAGTCCGCGCGTACACATGTTTTGCTTCACCATCTGTCAATAAAGGAACGGATGTATCGTCGTTCTCATTCATTTGGCCGTGCCTAACGTTGAGACAGGCTAGAAGGATGTGAAGCTCCTCTACTACCAGTACTTTGACTACAAAAGCCGAGTCTATCTGCGAGCCGGCTGATGTCATTTGTTCACGCTGGGCCTTACCTTTCCGTCTGTGTTTATCTATGGTAGCGTCGTTAGGCCACGCTGGCTGGATTCTCCGATGTCCGACTTCAAGCTTTGTGTAGTCAATCTTTCGTCGACTTACCGTCCGGTGCGTAGGTTAAGAAGTACACCTTCTTGAAACGAAGGTTGCACCGAGAATAGTGATGACTCTATATTTTGTCAAGGCTATTTAAATTATTGGTTTTTCAATAATTGTTTGTTGTTAGTTCGCCCAGTTTTGCCCCCTTTCTTCAGTCCTTGTTTGTTTCTGACGCCCCTTTTTTTTTGGTGTGCAGGTACATGGCGTGTCGGCACCAAAAAGACGCATCTATTTGATCAATGTTTATGCTACAGACTGAGTTAAACTCAACAACAGCACATTAGTACGCAAAAACACATGGAGCGCATTCATGTCACTACCATTTCGGTTTTCGCCCACTCATTCTTTCTACACTTGGTACCAGAGTTACTTCGGCATTTTTTTTTTTTTCGTTTTGTTTTCCGACTGGAATAGTTACACAAAAGCAAGCAGAGAACTTATTTTTACAGCTTGCGCCTCAGACAGGTGACAAAATAACAAGTCTGTGAGTAGTTAATATTCCAGAAGACCGCCGCTAAGGTCTCTGAGAACCTTCTAGGTGTGTTTTTGATAATTTAGAGGTTTTGTTTTCTCTTCAAGTGCATGATTACAATATTTGTTGCTCCAATAACAGGCTTTGTTAGAGCATTTTGGGACACACTCTTCAAAAGGTCAGGCGCTTCCGCCTGATCTTTTTAAGGATGTACGAATCCAGTATCCAATCTCCTTAAGCAGCTTTTCTTTCAGACATTTTGCTGCACAGATAAGAGCTAATTTGGTGCTTTCATAAATCTTTTGAACTTAATTAAAAATTGTTTAAATGTTTTTCACCTCCTACACAGGTGATTGGAGTACCGGACGAAAGGGCGGGCGAGAAAATATGTGCGTGGATCAAACTGAAAGCAGATAAAACCTTAACTCAAGAAGACATCAAAGCCTTTTGTAAAGACAAGGTATGTGCTGTAGTTCAAGAGGTACACCGGCTACAATTTCATATAGGATTACTTTCATGAGCCAAACCAGAACCAAAAAAAAAGTGAAAATCAATATTCAGGCGAAGGCCTCCTGACGGCCTCCTTCATCAAATGTTTCGGTACCCATTTTTATAATGAAAATATAATACTCTTGAAACTGCAATTCTGAAAGTGCCATATTACCTGTGCTATGTCCATATCGCGAATTCACAAGTAATTAGATATTTAATAATTAAAGTATGAATCATTGTAGGGCTCCGTTGTTCCTAATCGCGCGGGTAAAAAGGAGATATAGAAGGCACATATTTTTTCAAAATATAAAATGGTTATGTGAATGATGATCGCTTTTAATTGATGCAGAATATTTGAAAACCCGGGATGATTGTTACGTTGAAGCTGTCTTTGGTTTTCGTCTACTGGGCTCAGCATTCTCCACACTCTTTCTCCCAAGTTGTTCTGGACACTGGCTGCCGCCCTGTTGCGACCGCAAATTTCCGAGAGGTCTTTGTATGCCTAAGTGCTCGTACACAGAAAAAAAAATGCAAAGCCTTTTACCCAGACTTGCCTGAAATAACCGATAGCTTCGAGAGTTTCATCGAAATGTTCACATATTTGTCGACACTTGGCGAAAGTGTTCTCAGAAAGAGCGCTAGAACCTTGTCCCGCAGTGATATGGTAGCCAGGTAGGTTAGCTGAGGCATTTGCTCGCGTGCCCCTGCGGCCGTGAGCAGTATTCCGCTTCATGGCTCGTTTGTCGCTATCACCATGGTACCGTCAGCAATCTATCAGTATCCTATCTAAAATGTGCATAAATTAAGTTTTGTAAAATTGCGCTCAGTCAAACGCGGCAGGCAAAAACTGTATAAAATATAAGGATTTGTATTTACGTTTATGGCTCTATAATACCACCACTGAATATGATAAAGGCTGTAGCTCTCTATTATTCACCGTCTCGTCTAGCTCTGGAGCTCGCATGCCAAATACGCTGAGCTCTCTCAGCTTAACGCACGGGTCAGCTGTGACCCGCGTGATCGACACACCTCTACAATTTCCAACTGTCTCAATTTGATGATTTTATCCGAAGTTTGGTAAGTTCTCGCGTTTGACGTATTTAGGACAAAAAATATTAAATGCGTTTTGAAATCACCCTAAAGCTAAAACTTAGCCTTCTTTATTGCACACTGTTTAAATACTGTAAGTACAAATTGAAATCTGTTATATAAAGTGGAATCAGCGAATGTTTTGAAAATCTAGCAAATTTGAAACCGTGTCCAAATACGCTAATATTTTTGCCTAATTATATATAGTAGCAGGGAACAATAGTGATCCATAAAAAATATAAACAAAAGATATAGTATTTTCTTGAAAGGACCGGAAAGAAAACTTTAATCTCGATGGATTTGCACCGTAAGCGGCAAAATTGATTAAGCAGAAAATACATGTTGCTTCGTACTAGGCTCAATTTTACTCATTTTAAACTGTCATGATAAGGGAAGTATTGCTGTTGGGCTATGAATATAATTCATGCCACAATATTCAGCAGAATATCACCCATGTGAGGACGCAGTCAAAACGCACAACTTACATGAAGCTTAAATTGCGGTCACACAAACAAAATACTATACTCTCAACTTCTATTTTTGATAAACCACAAACATACCCTACAACTAATAAAACATGAGAAAAAAAATAGCCAACTAATCTGAAACAATTGGTTTTAATTTTTTTTTTAATTTTTGAAACACGTGTTTTCTTAAATTTATGCAACACAGTTTAATGTTTACATATAATACATCATTTGTAGTCAATAAAAATAACTAATTCCGAGCTTTATTCTAAAATCTAGAGCAATAAAATTATCTGAAGTAGGTCACACGGGAGAGCTTCTCAGATTTTACCAAAAAATATAGTCGGGCGAAAAACAATACAATGTATATTTTTACTCAATAATTATATTTAACTTTATTTAGAGATTTTCACAGATGCGTTCTAGTGCAGTTTAGTGATCAGTGACAAAATAGCGAGCGGTCGAAGATGTGATTCCGTAAGCCACGTTAGCTTTTTGCCACGTTAGCTTTTCGCCTTTTTGCGGATTCAATGGTCAATGCCTTAAGAATAAAAAAATCCCCCATGCTTATCGTTCATGCTGTCCTTCATTTCAAGAAAGCTCCTAAAACATATATATTTGTTTTGTCAAAAATATATATTCGACGCCACACCCGTGCCTTATAATGTAGATGAAAACACCTAGAGAGTGTATTGAGCTTCCATTTTGAGATATTTTTTTTTATCTCGGAGTGACATTTCTCTGATATATAGTTACACGTCCTACAAGGTTGCCAGGCACCTCCAGTTTTGCTAAATTGTATTCACACCTCAATTTTATGGGATTTGAAATGTGTGCAAGGATTTTGCCGATAGAGGCTGGGAGATGGCTAAAATTGTATATCGTTTGAGGACAGCAAATATATTTATTCAATTCCCGTTTCACTAAACATAACGAGGCAGTAATAAAAAAAAAGCTTTTGTTTTTTATTAGCTTGCCCGCAATTGATACAAACGTTTTAATTGCAGCTGCAGTCGTACTGGATACCGGAACACGTGCTGTTCGTAGACTCCTTCCCGAGGACTCAGACTGGAAAAGTTCAAAAGCACAAGATGCGGGAGCAGAGCGTCAAACTCTTCAACCTCTAAAACACAACAAGTGTGAGAGATAGGAGTGCATACAAAAAATAAAGTGTATGCTTTGTAAGCAACAAAATTTATTCACTCAGGCGGAAACGGTTCCTCACTGGAAGGAATAAGCCATCGATAGCAAGAACTGCTTTCTGAAACATTTGAAAATTGCAGGATGGTACTCCAAGTGTCCAGGCGTGTTTAACAAAACACAATAAAGACGTCCGGTAATTTTTGTTGTTAATTTAAATGTAGTCTCCTCACTAATAATTATTTCGCCCTGGGTTCTCTTCATGGGTTGGATGACACTTACAGAATGACAGTTTGAAGCACTGCATTGCAGTTCCAACCTTTTTATTTCTATTTGTTTCGTCTCTTGTGCCCATTCCCTGTCCTCTCATTTCCTTGCGTCTACAGTGCCCCTTTGTGTTCTAGAACGCTATCAGAGCGTTGGAGATTCAGTGTGTTCGGTCAGAGGACGTTCATAAGATTAGTCTGATAAAAAAATTAGGCAAACAATAAAAGGTGCGCGTCATGAATTACAAAAAGTTGGCTGACGCAAAAAATTGGGTTAAAATAAATTGGTTTGATTTTTTCCAGAATCTCATATGACCGTGCGTGCCGCCTTCTGTCGTGATCCCACTTGTTCAAGTTTTTACAGCGGAGCTGTTAAGGGCTAGTTTCCCCAAGGTTGTGTCCGCCAGCAAACAAATGTCAACACAAGACTCTGGTCAGCTACCGCCGTCTATGAGCGACGGCGGCAAGCAGACAACCGGCTTGTCGGTTGTCTTGTCGCCGCCGTCGGTCGTAGATGGCGGCAACCTTTCCAGCCTTTTCACTCTGGCTTGCCGACTTGCGGCCGGCCATTACTTCATTCCCACCATAGTACAGCTTCGCTGGTCTTCCTTCGTCACCAGAGTGAAAAAGCTGAAAGGTTTTCTTATCTACTCAGTCATTGATTTATTTGCCTATCATTTCTGTCATGGTTTCGAGGTTTCTAGAAAGAAATGAACGAGGTGCGCGAGGAGGTAATCGTGTCAATCAGACTAGGTTGTAATAGTAAAAAAAAATTAAATGTCCCGGTTGGAAAGACTTGCTAAAGGAATCATGGTGGCAAAAGCCGCATAACGTATGATGGAACAAGTTATAACGATATGAGTGACGTCAGCGTATTAAATTCACAATGGTGTCATAAAGTAGTTATGTCGTATGCATAATGAATTTATGGCAGATTCATGACGACTTTCTTATGCCTTCATCACGGCCAGATCGTAATATAAAGCGCTCGATAACGGCGAGTCTTTTTTGTATCAGCGTAATGTTTGGAACAAGAGCGTTATCAGCACACCAGTATACTTCTTCCGGGGTCCTCCTAGAGCAAAAATAGCAGTGCACTAATACATTCGCGCAGTAAATTTTTAGCATGTATTTACTTGTCGAAAATTGACATACAACAAAGCTTAGTTCTATTCAAAGGAGAAATATATTAAATTCTTAACTGAACAAAATTCCCCCTCGAGCGGTCAGGACAACCTTCAATTCTCACAGGTAAGTTACTACTGGCTTGTGGGTATGTATATATTGAAATCCCGTTGTATAGTAATTACCAATTCGAAGTGCATGTTTTTTTTTTGTTTTTTTTTTTTATATCGAGCTTCATACTGCCGCGTGCATGCGCGAGAAAATACGCTTCTCGGCTTATCAAAAAGATTCGTACGTACTCTTCCCAGGAGCGTAAAAGATAAGAAGGCCAGAACGACCTTTGCTGATAAGTCTCGCCTCACCTCTTTCCCGAACGTTCTAGTTCGAATATTCGAGGTGAGGAGCCTATAAGACAAAAAGCCGAGTGCTGTATCGCCAATTCATTCTATGATTTTTTCCCTCGATAGGCAGCTCTTACGCCAAAGCACCGTCACTTTCGGCTGCCACCATAGGCAACCTGCAATGCTGTTTGGTTTGGCGCCATCTAGCGACTGAAGCAAGAGACATTGGGTACCCCTGGGAGTGGCGGCTGGATTGTTCAAACGTGAGCTGTTACTCTGGTGGCGCCGCTGAGCCTAGTGTCTGAAGCAAGAAATACTGGGTATCCCACGAAGCCGTGATCGCGTAACGTGCCAGTAGACCGAAAGCTACGGCCCTGGCGGGCCAATCAGAACGTGAATGCGTATCACCGGAGCGCGCCTCAACTACGAAGAAATATCCGGCTTTTCGCTGCGTCATGCTCCAATATGTGTGCGTTGCGCTCGTATACGTGGCGCATTTCGAAGCCGTCGGCACGCAATGTGGGGCTTATCGTTCGCCGTTTGCCAAGTTAGAACGAGATAGGGTAAAACCGTGCCCTCTCACCCTGCTGGAGCCGCCTGGCCGTTGCCAGCTGCCTATCGAACGATCGCTGCTGCTTTCCCGACGCGTGTTCTTTCAAGCGAAAGCCTTGTCTCATCGTTCAGTCGACCATCAAAAAACACGTCGGAGACACGAAAGGTACCAAAACGAAAAGTACCAATGAAATGGCGCCAAAAGTGCGTCGTCAGAGAGTGCGCTGTCTTCGCAGCTTCACTCTCACCGGGACCACAGCCCACGCCATGATCCCTGTGAGCCAATGAAATGGCGCCAAAAGTGTGTCGTCAGAGAGTGCGCTGTCTTCGCAGCTTCACTCTCACTGGGACCACAGCCCACGCCATGATCCCTGTGAGCCAATCAAATGCCGCCAAAAGTGTGTCGTCAGAGAGTGCGCTGTCTTCGCAGCTTCACTCTCACTGGGACCACAGCCCACGCCATGATCCCTGTGAGCCAATCAAATGCCGCCAAAAGTGTGTCGTCAGAGAGCGAGCTGCCTTCGGAGGTTCGCTTTCACGTTTATGTTACCCTTCAGGCGAATTAGAGGCAAGGAAATTAAGAAAGATGGCAAAGCAAATTAAGAGGAATCAAAGTGAATTAAGTAGATCATGGGTGTGTTTTTATTGCATCGGCGGTTGGGCTTTCGTCGATTAAATTTCGTCTATTAAATATTTAGTTAATTCAGTTTTCTCCTGCCTCATCGTCGGTCATTCTTAAATAAAATTCGTTCACTCCGTCTGCCGGATGAAGCGAACGAATTTAAAGTAATGCCATTTGGACTGCGCACCGCAGTCCGAATGCGTTGCAACGCGTTGTGGACACCGTGCTGGATGGTCACAAATAAAAAAGCTGCCTCGTTTACCTGGACGACGTCGTGTTTTTTTTCAGGCGACTTTGACGACACTTGAGGCGACTTAGGGCCGTGCTTCAAGCCATGAAAACTACCGGACTGATGCTCAAGAAGACGAAATGCCGGCTCACCTGCTGTGAACTGAAATTTTTGGCCACGTCCTGAGTAGCAAAGGAGTAGGCCTGACCCTGCGCAGACGTCCGCCGTAGCCGCACTGACACGCCCAACGCACAAGAAGGACGTCCAAGGATACAATGGTCTTTGCGCCTACTATAGACGCTTCGCTCGAGACTTCGCTAAACTCTCCGCGGCGATGACATACCTTTCGAAGGATGCCGTAGAGGTCAAGTGGACAAAAGACCAAGTAGCGGGCATTCGACAAGCTCAAACGAAAACTCTAGAAGCCTCTGATTCTCCGCCACTTCGACCGACTTGCAGCCACCAGAATTCACGCGGATACACCTAATACAGGACTTGGCGCGGTGCTCGTCCCAATTCAGGACGGCACAGAAAGAGCAACGGCCTACACCAGTCGGACGGTCTCCAAGGCAGAGAGAAAATACTGAACGACCGAGAAGAAATGCCTTTCCGTCGTCTTGGCAATAAGCAAATTCCACCCGTTCCGGGGCGAAAGCTCTTTTGGCGTGGTCACGAAACATCACACTCTTGGTTGGCTCGCGAACTTGAAGTATCTCTCAGGACATCCCGTGATATGGAGTTTTCCAACTCAAACATTCGACATGCGTGTGGTCTACAATCTGGTCACACGCGCAGCGATTCCGACTGTTTGTCGAGGGCACCCGTCGAGTTGGCGTCTGAGCGCACTGACGAAAGCGACATCAACGACATTTTTGTCAGCGCGGTGACAGTGAACATGGCAGCACTTCAACGAGATGATCCTGAGATGCCTGCAGTCGTCGAGCATCTGGAGGGACGAGGGAGTGCAGTTTTACGTGCCCTAACATTAGCCCTGACGACCTTAACTGTTCGAGGAAGTATACTCTACAGAGAAAACTTCGACGCAACCAACTGGGCGTGGCTGATGATTATTTCCGAGTCTTTGAGCGGCAGTCATGCAAGCGTGCCATGACGTTCTGCCGGAGGGGCAGCTGGGCTATAGCAGAACACTTGCATGTATTCAAGAAAAGTATAATTGCCCAAGCTCCCGTAGAATGTCCACCTCTACATCCGATTGTGCCGCGAGTGCCAACGAGAGAAGAAACCACCAACGAAGCCGGCAGGGCTTTGTAGCTGATCACTCTTCCGACTACAACGTTCCAGCAGATCGGAATGGACTTGCTTGGACCGTTCCGAACATTCACGCAAGGAAACCGGTTGATAATGATCCCGACCGATTACTTTACAATGTTTTCCGATTTCAAAGCTCTTCCATCATGCACTGCAGTGGAAGCCGCCAAGTTCTTCGTCCAAACCATCGTCCTCAGGAACGGTGCCCTCGGAAGTACTGATTACAGACCGAGGGTTGTGGTTCAGCCACACGAACCATCGTCGAACGACGGCGTACCGGTCGGAGACGAACGGGTTGGCGGATAGGCTAAACAAGGCCATCACCAACACGATCGCCATGTACGTCGAAATGGTGCACAAGACCTGCGACATAGTCGGAAAGTAATGATCATGTTGGACGCGATGCTGCCCCACGAGCCTGCTAACGGTCGCAGCGATGACATCCAGGGGGTTGCTCAACGGGCCGAAGAAATCCTCCAGCTCACCCGACTCCTGGTTGAAGACCAGCAGCGTGTCGGCGCTGGCCGCTACAACCTTCGTCGTCGGGACGCTCACTTCTAGCCAGGATATAGGGTGTTGGTGT